CGAAGTGCAAAAACTCAAAACGACCGGTCGGGTCGTTATATTAACTAGTGAAATATGCATATCTTTTGAGATTTTAAATAAGGTAATTTTTTAATCTTCTATAACATTCAAGAATAAAAATATTGACTTTTTGATAATTGTTATCTATAACAATCAAATAATATTTAAATATTAAATAATATTATAGGTGTTTAACATCCAATAACTATAAAAGTTAAAAAAAAAAATATCGAAACAGTCGAAGTTGTTGTAGGAATATTTGACTATATACACAATGTTCAATGCAAAGATATCATCAACAAGTTCTAGTGAACTTAGCAAAGATCATTAAAATTTAAAATGTATAATTAAGTTTTAAAACCATACTTTCATAAGTGTAATGAATTCAACTGTAAAAATATAATGGTTTGAACGCATCAATCTTATATTTTTTATCCAACACTATGTACACATACGTAAAGAAAAACAGATATACATATAACAAAATTACACTTATTCTGAATATACTAATTCTAAGTTTTAAATTCGCTTGTACTAGAAGCAACCTGTGCTTGAGGTTTCTTTTACACTTTCATTTCCTTCCTAGTAGTTAATTTCACTCTTCTTCTATCAATGGAAAGAAGATTCCAGACCAAAATTTAGAAGTCTTCTATCTAAGGTATCACATAAGGAACTATGTTCTATTATTGTCGGCTTTACAAGATTTTGAAGCCATCTCCAAGTTCTCTAGTGTTTTGGTAATCTTGGAATTACATGCAACATATAGTTTTCGATATGACAAATTAAAAAAAGGAAAAATAATACTAATCAGGGTTGTACATGGATCGGGTTGGTTCCGATTTTATCAAAACCAAACCAAACCAACTATATCGGTTTTGATTGGTTCGGTTTTGTCGGATTTTTTGGGTTTTTCAGATTTTTTTGTTACATGAATATTATTTCAATCTTACTTTGTTAAAGTTATAGATAAAGTTTTGATAAATGAATATATATTTAGTAAAAATTAAAAAAATTAACAAATATATAATCTATTAAAATATTCTTATGGAAAAATATTTTTAGTAACACATGGTAATTCTTTTATTAGCCGTCTAATAAGAATATTTTGTTGATGTACGCTTCAAAGTTAATCGATGTTAATAAATAAACATAAAAATTAATCTGATAACTAAATAATGATATGTTCTATTTAATTTTAAATTATGAAAATACCATTCCAAATTCGAAAAAGATATAAGAAATCTTGACTTATGAATATGGAAGAACAAAGAGATGATTGGCGTATTTCAATAATACTTAATAAAAAAGTGATACAATAAAATATAATCATGTCACTTATAAAATATTTACAAGTAAATTTTTATAATAAGTACTAAATGGTAACCAAATAAATATGATAACTGACTTATTAGCATGTGTCAAATTACAGTGATAAAATCTTTACGGTATTACTCCCTCCATTCACTTTTAGTTGTCCACTTTGGATTTTTCACGCCTCTTATGAAATAATAAATAAAGTGCATAATTCTTATGATACTCATATTAATTGGTGTATAATCTTAATGGATTTGGAATGAGTAATTAATGCTAAGGGCAAAATCAAAAAAATAAATTATTTTTCTCTTAATATGCAAAAAGTGACAAGTAAAAATAAAAATTTATTTTCGAATACTTACAAACGGAGTCGTATATAACTTAAGTNGGGGGGGGGAAGAGAAAAAGAAGTCCATTGTGTTATAAACCTTTTATTAATTCGAAGAAAAGCGTTTTTATGTATTGCACTTTCCTTGGCCTTAAAAATGATATCTTCAAATACTATTTAGCCAACTTTAGATGGACCATAGTGGAGAATAATCATCATTTGATGCAAAACCCACCTTAAAGTAAGAGGAGCTGATTACTTACTTCTTATGATTCGGAGATATACCCTGGAAACATCAGAGAGCTACTACATAGTATCAAGATATTGTTCGATCGACAATAATGTTGGTAATAATGTACGTAGTTGACGTTTATCTATGTAATGTAAAGCACACTTTTATATGCTTCTCTCAAATATAACAATTCTGGTTGTCGGCAAATGTAACACTGAAGACAGATTACAAAGGAACATGTAAGATTAATATAAGAAAATATTGTATTTCAAATCATGATAATCTCCTTCATGACTCACGACAGTAATATCATTTCATTACAATTTTGCAGTGGTTGTCTCTAAGCTTATCACCTTCTTTGCATGTCTCTCCCTCTTTCCATATACAATAATGAACAAAATTCATTTGTGGTCCGTCTGTAAAATATTCCATATTTCTTCTATTTGCTCTATTTTAGCTTCCACAACATATGAAATGTGATAAAACACTCCAGCAACAAAAGAGATACAAGAGAATCGAATATGCAAATAAAATATCCTTTTTGTGCAAGAAGAATAACAAGTCAATAAAGACATCTTTTGTATTAGCAAAATAAAGACAAGTCAGCTAATATCAAACAACTTCCACTTATTCATGTGACGTAAGTTCGTTGTTAGTAGGCAAAACCCTTCACTTCAAAACAATCATGTTTCTGACTATTGAAAGTGAACGTTAAAGCTTTGAAGCTAATCTTCAAGTATTTCTTTCAAGTTTCCTATAAAATCAGCAATCCTAGGTAATATGGAACTAAATCTCTCCATATAAAACACAAAGAGAATGACACCTTTTTGTAAGAAAGAAAACTCTTATATGTTTCTAACATCCATCTAAAGTCCTATTGTGGATATTAACTTATCTTTTCATCTATCATCTTAATGTATGGTGTACTCAAATAGGTTAGCTTGACATTTCATCTAAACAATACTACTCATAAAGTGATATGTACAAGTATTATTTGTTCAAAAGAATGAGAAGTTCTTCCAACTATTAGTAATAACTACTGCAAACCCAATCTTTCTTGCAGCTTGGTTTGACATTACGCATAGCAAATTACAAAGGTAACGATATCTTTGCCATAAAAAAAGGTCCTTGCCCTTCTGTTCTTATTTTAGAAATTAAATAAGTTAATGCTTGATGCCAAGCTCAGTACATAGAAATTAGTTATTCCACTCTTGCGATATCAATACAAGAATGGAGCATTGCACGCTGATTCTTCAGCTTTTGGAACTCCAATAGCAGAGCATGAAGACATACAAAAACAACCCTAGTTGTAGCCAAAACTATAGTTTTTGACCAGATATTAGCTTAGCACAAAGCGACCCTTACATGAATATGTAGAGAGCATATGACAGCGTACAGAGAAATTACTCTCCTACATAAGTACTCCAGAAATTACTCTCCTAGGTGTTAAAGAGCCATCAAGGTGTCAAAAAACTACCACTGTTTTTTTTTTCTTCCTTTTGATAGGTAAAGGATAACCACACAATTAATAAACCGTCATCCATGCAAATTGTGATATATAAGAAAAAACACATAAAATAGTGAAAATTTTCATAAAATGCGAAGAGAATAAAATAAGTGGCAAAGCCAGAGTGCGACATTCAATTGAGGGAGCAGCTTCACCAGAAATATTGAGAATGAAACGTTATTGAACTAAATTGATGAAGCATCCTGCAAGCAAGGGACGCAATAGCAGAAGGCTGATTCCGGGTTTCGACTACTTCCTTGCTATTCTGTTCCCAAGGCAATTAAGAAAGCAATTTTGAAGAATCAATGTCAAAATCGAATTTTTAGCCAAAATTATCCCTTATCTTTAGGGATAGGTTTAACTTTGTCCTCTAAATATAACCCTTAATACTAGTTATTTTAAATTTTGAGCACTTTTAGTTTCACCGTTAAAAACCTAATAGAGAAATAACACGTGATCTGCACGTGATGTGTGAAAAGAAATACCCGCTCTTTCACCCCCTATTCAGTCGATTTTTCTCTTTTTTCAAGAGCCTCCCTTCTCCAATTCACTCATTTGATCTCTATTATGGTAGGTATTGTATCTCTATTATAGTAGGTAAAAAAACCCTAGCATTCTTGATAATATTTCAAGTCTTTACTACTTGCGATCCCAGCAATGATTATTAGGAGCAATGATGAAATAACCCCTAGTTATGGTGAGTGTTCTTGCTACTTGTATTTTGTAAATATTCCTTCTTAATTTGTTTTCGAAATCTCCACTATTTTTACAATACTTTACTGTCTTTTGAAGTTCTATAATATTGTGGTCCTTATCTCGAATTTTTTAAGTTCTGCTTTTGCATAGCCTTTGTAATTGCAGTCCTTTTTCATATAGTATGTCTAAATAAACTTTCAAATCTTTTTTGTTTATGCAGATCCTTTATACGAGTAATTATTTTACCATTAAAATAGCACATGGTGGTTTAATGAAACTCAAGCCCACAAGACATTATGTTGGGGGCAGAATGAACTTTATTGACTATGTCAATGGGGCTGAACTAAAGTTGTCTATATTCAAATCTATGGATGAATTATGCGGTTATGGGAATGACTCGGTAACTTTTTGGCACAAGCCCAGGAGGCTAGGTGACAAAATGAGGCTAGTTTCAACTGATAAGTAAGTCAACGTTGTTGCAAAAAATATTCCCAGTGATCAGGTAGTTGACGTGTACTTTAAACATTTGGATTCGTATATAGAAATGGGTATTGAGGATGCTATCTATGAGGGACAAAGCAATTCAAGGAATGATAATCATGTTACTGTTGGAGAACATCAAAAAGATGATAAGTGGGCTGTGGACTTGCTAAAGAAAATATATAGTTATAGGAAATGGGATCTGACAGGAATTCCTTGCAAGCATGCCATTGCTGCAATTTGGGCTAAAAAAGATGAGATTAATTCATATGTTCATGATTGCTATAAGGTGGAAACATATAGAAGGGTCTATGACTTTGCTATTCTATCTATGAATGGTCAACATATGTGGCCTAAGTCAAGCAATGTGCCTCCTTTGCCTCCACAATTAATAAGAACAAGCACAATAGGAAGAAAGCAAAAACTAAGGAGAAAGAACCAGATGAAGTAGGAGCAAGTAGAACTAAAATGAAAAGAAAGCAGAACTCCTTGCTTTGTAGCTTATGACATAATGCTGGCCACAATAAAAGAACATGCAAATTTAATATTGTTCAGCCAGATTCCCAAGTTGATGAGCGTTCATCTTATGCTCCTGCCTCTCCAACTCGTGCAAAGCTTCCGGTATCAATACCATACAATTGAATTTTGTTTATTGAATTATTATGATATGAACGAGTAATAGTACCATATATTTTGTTTGCAGGTAAGAAGAGGACATGTGGTGCATAAACATATGCAATGTACTCAAGAATTTGATTGTTAACATGACTGGAGTTCTAGTATTGTTGCTGCTGAAATGTTGATATTTTGTTGCTGAAATGGTGATATTTTGCTGTTGAAATGTTGGAATGAGTACGTTTGCCGCTGAAATGCTGAATTTTTGCTGTTGATCTGCTGATTTTCGCTGTTGAAATGTTGATTTGCTGCTAAAATGCTGATATTTTAGCTATTGAAATGCTGGAATGCTGTATTTTTCCCACAGAAATACTGATTTTGCTGCTGAAATGCTGATTTTGTTGCTGAAATGCTGATTTTGGCCGCTGAAATGCAGATAGCTTTGCACTTTGAATGCTTTTCTACTGCTGGAATGCTGATTTTTGCTGCTGAAGTGCTGATACACTTGCAGTTTGAAACTTTTTTAGCATTACACATTTTATAAAGAATATTCTGTTAGTTTTTTAATTGAAGTTATGATTTTCTGTTAGTGAGACTAAAAGTGATCAAAATTTGTAAATTTAAAAGGACAAATAGTGCTAAGGGTTATATTTAAAGGACAAAGTTAAACCTACGCAGAAGATAAGGCTGATTTCGGGTTTCGACTACTTCCTTGCTATTCTGTTCCCAAGGCAATTAAGAAAGCAATTTTGAAGATTCAATGTCAAAATCAAATAACATAAGTGTTGTATGAAAACAATTTCTAGCTTCTTCGAATAATCGCTCAGAAATTCAAGGAAAAATTCATACCCAGATGAAAAACCCACTTTAAATAGACCCGAAAGGGGGGGAAAATCACCTGGTATCCAAATAGCATAATCCAGGCAAGTTACCCGCTAGAAGAAAAAATAAAGTTGAGACAGTAATTGAGAGCGTCAGAAAATATTCTACCTTAAGGAGTTAGTGGAGAAGCGACATATATTGTTTATGGAATAGAAAGAGGAAGAAGGAAAATCCCCAAAGCAATAATCTTACCGTTCAGTAGTACGGAGCAAGCGAACACGGGTTGGAGGAGGAGAGAAGCGGTGTCAGTTCGTCCGCCCGGCCAAATGACTAACTCAAATACATGGTTGTTCTGTAGGAGAATGATAGACGCATATACTTTATTAGATGAAAAGTCTAACATGTCCTTAGTTCCGAATTTGACAGGGAAGCAGATACGTTGAGACTTTGAGTCTTAGCGCCTGTTTGGCCAAGCTTTTGAGGTCAAACGTACTTTTTTTCTCAAAAAAATACTTTTTAAAAACTTTGAATTGTTTGACCAATACAGAGAAGTATTTTTGGTTAACAGAAGAAGCATTTTTTCTGCTTTTGGAAAAAAATAGAAAATTCTAACTTCTTCTAAGAAACAGAAGCAGAAGTAGGAAATTAATTTATTCATGACAAAACTATCCTCAACATAATTTATATTTTTCAAATTATCCCTTACTAATTTAAGTTTTTTCGTTTCATTTTTGTTTTTAGTTTTTACCATTCTATTAAAATTAAAGATATTATATATATGAATCATATTGTAACTTTTCAAATTCTATATTTACTTTTCTTATTTTTGATTTTTTTCTTTGTGTAATGTCTTGTAACTTTCCAAATTATCTTCTTCTTTTTTCACACTAAAGCAAATTATCTACATCCTTCTTTGGATTATCAATTCTCTTCCTACAAAAAATCATTTATAATTTCTTCTATTATATGTTATTAGTTCCCGAATCTTTAAAACAGTTATCAAATTTAATTTGTGAAAATGACCTACAAATAGGTAATAAATTTACAATTGCATTGCATAATCTATCTATATATTATTAAAAGAAGAAGAAAATGTATCCACATTAAGTCAAGTGACAACCTCACAATAGGCCAATTGGCAATTTAGGACAAAGTTAGTAAGATTAGGTAAAAATTAATTTCTTTTTAAATTTAAATGTAAAAAAAATTAAATTATACATTATGTATTGTTAATAATTAGTTACTCTTTTTAAATTAGTTTAAACATAATTAACTATTTATTTTATGATTTATTTTATATATTTAAAATTATTTCTATTTTATGCTCAATACCATCTTTCAACACTCAGAATTATCTAGTTACAACTACCATGGCTATACATAATTTCATCCGATGATATTCTTCTACAGAGATTGATAAAGAAGATGAGCCTTCTGATATTCCTTTAGAAATGCGAGGCAAGTCTTCTACTAATATGGGACATTGTGTGATAAAAGTAGCGATGAAATTGTTGAGAAATATTATCATGTATGAGTGACTTTACTTATTATTTCATGATGGATTATCAATATATAGTAATTTGTGGATAGACTTCTAATTTATACTGGATGATGTATTTTAGTTATTCAAATCATCATATAGCAATAAGTAATTATACTAGATAATATCATATGCTTTGGTATAACTATATATATATATAATTGATTTAAATCTGTAATATGTTTGTTTACTTTATATTTTAATTAAATTAAATTAAATAATAATAAAAGTCTCTTACGATAAATATTTAAGTTCATTTTTCTATTTAAAAGAATTATAAGACCTTGATACTATCTCTTTTGGTAATTTAATACTCAAAAGTACTTTTTAAAAAGATTGGCCAAACCCAATTTGTTTACCAAATGTTGCAAAAAATACTTCTTAAATGAATTGACCAAATACAAATATATTTTTTTCAAAGTACTTCTAAAAAAAATATTTTTCAAAATAAGCAGATTTTGACAGCTTGACCAAACAGGCTCTTAAGCTCTTCTATATAATAAAAATATTTTTTTTTTTATATCCGGATTCAGGTCCAACAAAAGGCAAGACATAAAATGAAACTCAAACTAAGAAATGACGATAGCAAGAAAAGAAGGAAGTCATTTTTTCAGAGAAATTTTCTTTGGTGTTTAGTTACCATCTTTTCTATCAAAATGAGGAAAATGACTTCTCTTTCACTTATAGGTAAACGTCAATTTCCTTACTACTCTTTTAACTTTTAAATTTATATCACTTTTCCAACTAACATTTAGATATTATTATTGTTGGATTTTAGTTGAGGCGTGAATAGAAAATGGAGGAAAATAAAATATTAGAAATAATTTCTTTTTACAAAAGAACTTTGTCCCTGTTAGAAAGGAAGAGGAAGATTATTGTGTTTATATATATAGAAGCACGTCTTGTAGCTCTTAAATATTTGAGAAGAAAGCAAGCTGCGTGCCGTCATCATAGTCTAGGTAGGATTGGATTTAGTTTGTGTGATGACTTAAAATGTCATCTTTAAATTTAATAAGTAATTATGTGTTCTACGACCTCGAAAAGCACCATTTATCATTTCTCGACTTGCGTACGCAGTCCGTACAATTTTCCGGAAAGTTTTATGTGAAAAATGGATTAAAATATGAATTAGAGCTTTAAAACTCAACTAAGTTGACTTTGGTCAGCATTTTGAGCAAACGGACCCAGACCAGTATTCTGATAATTTCGGTAGGTCCGTATCGTAATTTTGGACTTGGGCGTATGCTCGAAATCGAATTCTGAGGTCCCTAACTCGAGATATGGAATTTTGATAAAACATTAAAAGCTTGAAAGCTTAATGATTTCTAAGAAATTACTGATGTTGGATTTATTGACCTCGGATCCGTATTTTACTTTCGGAGCCCGATATAGGTCCACTATAATATTTATGACTTGTCTGCCGAATTTGGTGAGAATCGGAGTTGATTTAACGTGATTCGGACGTCCGGTTGTAAAAATATAAGTTTTAAAGTTTTCTTAAAAACTTCCTTTGATTTGGTGTCCGATTCATAGTTCTAGGTGTTATTTTGGTGATTTGATCGCGCGAGCAAATTCGTATGATATTTTGGGACTTGTGTGCATATTTGGTTTGGAGCCCCGAGGGCTCGGGTGAGTTTTCGGATAGGCTACGAGATGTTTTGGACTTTGAAAATCTGGTATTTTGCTGCAGCAGGTGTTCTGGCATGTCTTTCTTCGCATTCGCGAAGGTACTCTCGCTAACGCGAAGAGTAAACTGGGCAGCTGAAGTTTTCTTCTTTGCGAACGCGAAGCGATGGGGGCATTACCCTTCGCAAATGCGTAGTGTTAGGCATACCTGGGGGCGGGTTGATCATTCCTTCATCGCGAACGCGAAGGCCAGGGTGGGAAAGCCTTCGCAAACGCGAAGGAGGACTCGCGAACACGAAAGCCACGGGCTGCTACTCATCGCGAATGCGACAGGCCCTTCGCGAACGCGAAGAAGGCCTGACCCCTATGACTTAAAACAGAACCAAAACGGGAATTTTTCCATTTTCACAAACCCTCAATTATAACTCGGCTTAGGGGCGATTTCAAAGAAGTTTTTCACGATTTCGAACTGGGTAAGTGTTCTTTATCATATAGTGATTGTATTTCATAAATCTAAGCCTATATTCATCATTTATTTCGGATTTAGATGGAAGAAACTGGAATTTTTGTAAAACTTTCCAAAAGCAAAAAATTAAGATTTGAAGGTCCATTTGATATCGGAATTGGACAAATTTTTTATGGTTGAACTCGTATCAGAACGTGTGTTCGGATTTCATGAGTTTTTCCTGGATTTAAGACGTGGGTTCCACTGCCAAATATTTTAATAAATTTTGGATTTTTATCCGGAAAATTTATAAATTCATATGGAATTAATTCCTATGATTAGTATTGAATATATTGAATTGTTTGTGAATAGATTTGAAGCTTCCGGAGGCAAATTTAAAAGGAAAAGTTGTGGTTGAATAATTGATTTGGAATTTGCAAAGCGAGGTAAGTGTCGGGATAACCTTGACTTGAGGGAATAGAACTCTTAAACTTTTATTATGTGAAATGCTTGTGAACGACGTATAGACGAGGTGACGAGTGTCTATACGTCGTCAAATTAATTGTTAGCCTACTTACTTGAAAATTCATAAATTATTTTAAATCATGAATTAATTGTTATAACATTTGTTTCTCTCCTATTCTTTGTCAAATATTAATTCTTGAATTCTTGCATTAATTATTACATGCTATTAAAATTATGTGTCTTAATTGTTATTTGACATTTAGCATATTAAATATTAAACTGTCTATTTTCTCTCTGATTTCTATAATAACTTGCTATTTGTCATTGTTTGTTTCATAATTAAATTATAATTATTATATGCTTGTTGTCTCATAATCTTATATTAATAGTTGCATTTATTGGAGAAATTTTTTCTATGAGAATTGGTAAATGAATATATTGGAGGAGCGGGTTGTACGCCGCAACAACATTGATTTGGTAAATATATATATTGGAGGATCGGGTTGCACGCCGCAACAGACTTATTAAAAAGTCCATATTGGAGGATCGGGTTGCACTCCGCAACAGACTTATTAAAAAATCCATATTGGAGGATCGGGTTGCACGCCGCAACAGACTTACTAAAAGTCAATATTTGGGGGATCGGATTGCATGCCGCAACAGACTTATTAAAAGTCAATATTTGGGGGATCGGATTGCATGCCGCAATAGACTTATTTGAAAGTCTATATTTACTGGATTGAAATAAATATATGATAGACTTGATTAAAAGGAATATATTGGGAGAGCGGGTTGCTCGCTGCAACAGAATTAAATGTGAATATATTGTGAGAGCTAGTTGCACGCTGCAACAGAATTGATGGAAATGATAATTGGTTATGACTGCTGAATTGGCTTCAATTATTATAAATGAGTTACCTAATTTATTTCTATTATGTGTTGTTGTTACTAATATTGCGTACAGGTTAATGTAAGTGAACCGCCTTAGCCTCGTCACTACTTCGTCGAGGTTAGGCTCAGCACTTACCAGTGCATGGGGTCGGTTGTACTGATACTATACTCTGCACTTCTTGTGCAGATTTCAGAGTTGGTCCCAGCGGCGTACCATAGACTTGCTCTGATTTCAGCTACTAGAGGAAACTTGAGGTATAACTGCACGGCGTCCGTAGTTCTGAAGTCCCCGTCTATTTTACTTTAGCTGTGTATTTATTTTCGAACAGTTTTATTTTATTCAGACCTTTATTTATATTATTCTAGAAGCTCGTGCACTTGTGATACCAATTCTGGGATGGTATTTAGATACTGTTGTTTA